TGGACGTTGCGGGAAGCCGGGCCTCTCCGGTGGTCAGGGAGGCCGAACCAAAATTGGCTGCGAGGCGCCCTGGCGTTGGCCGGCAGCATATAGCTGCTTTCAGCTGGCCTCGCGCAGGAGCCATGGTGGAAAAGGCAGCACGGCTTCTTCTGCGACGGCCAAGAGCAGAGCACAGCCAGATGGTCTGACGTCAGTGGGTCAATGACCCCCCAGCACCTCCAGTGTCCGCGTCGATGGAGGGCAGCCATGACGCACTCTTCGCGGGCTCGCACTGAAGCGTCACGCACTTACACACGCACGCACACACACCGCCGACGGCTGCGCGAGCGTAGGCGCAAAGCGTCCTTCGTCTCTCTCCCTCCCGGCAAGCACCGACACACAAGGTCACACACAGCTCCCTTCGCGGTAGACGAAACGAATACGGGAAAAAAAGTAAAAACAGAGCAAAACGACACTCAACATCTGGCGAAAAAACATAAAACACAAATAACACTTAATATTAGACAAAAGAAACATAAAATACACATGAACACTTCAAAAAAAAAAAAAGAAACACTGGCAGCAGACAGGGCGGGGTCAACTCCTTTACGAGAAAAGGCCGTAAAGAAGCTAACCTATACTGAGGCTAGACAGTAAACTGAGGGCCTTCGGTTGCGGAGAAGTCCGCCGTCCGGCGCGAAATCACAAAGGTGACCGCTTCCTCAGATTATACCGGTGCGGGGTCCGAATGCGGTCCGCCGCTCCGGGTGTGCCCGTTGCTTGCGCGAAGTGCCGCAGGGCACTGGCGCAAGCTCGTCAGACCATGACAAAGGGCTTCAGGTCTGCGATGTGGGCACGGCTGAGTTTTCCCAAAGGGGATCTTTCAGCTAGTACGCGCCACGGACGCTCACTGACAATCGGTTTATAAGACCGGGTGGCTTTCCAACCCTTGGCTCAACCGTTTGTCAGACGTGGCAGGCACGGAATAGCGATAAAAACCACGCTTCGTGCCGGGCCAGGTCACAACATCGCTCAGTTTGCAAAAACTTTCGAGCCACTCAGGTGACCGGCCATCGATTCGTCGTGAGAGGATCGCAACAGTGCGGCTCTCAGACTTTTGGACATAACCACCTTAAACGGGTCTATGGACTCGTCGTCAGTGGCTATATATTTCAGCAGGAGCCCGTCATGGTCCAGCAAAATGAATCCGCCGGTGACTCAGCGACACACGCTGTTTCAGCCCCCTAATCGCGCCCGCCGCAGAACAAGCAGCGTAACGGCGCTCCGCGCCTCGTCAAGACGGTTTAACGGCGCCCGCCGCAAAGCAAGCAGCGTATACGGCGCTCCGTCCCTCCGAGACTCGAAACGGATCACTCTGCTGAGCCTTGAGTAGCTCTTCGCTGCCGAAAGCAATTCCCATTCTCCCAAATGGGGGAGTCTGGTATCGCGCCCACTCAGGACCGCAGCAACCGCCGCGTGAGTCGGCATTACGGGTTCACTCTCGGCCTCGTGGCCTTCGGAAAGCTCCCCCGCTCGGCCACTTCGCGGTGCGCTGCTTACCTGGTTAGCAGCCAAGGTTTGTCCGCATGGGGACTCACCCTTCTCGCCGAATGGCGGCGAAGCTGCTGTTTCGCCCCCGACGCTTGCATGTGCTAAGGCACCGCGAGCGGCCGTCGCACCGAAATCCAGGTTCTCGGCAGACAACAGGGGGCACGAGATAGCGCGTCAGCTACCACGTAGGAGTGTATTCACCACAAAAAGGGGTGACGACACAGGCGAGCGCCGAAGGGCGCCCGTCGATAGAGGCGGTGGCCTCTTGCTGCAACGCGGCATGCCACGAAGCAGACATGTTGCGACGAGCCCGAATCGCGCAGGCGAACTGACTCGCTAAGCGCAGACAAAAGCTAGAGCTTTTGATACCGCGTTGGGCGCCAGTGTGGTGTACACGTATCCCGAAGGAGTACGGCCACCAGCGTGGGTCCGGTCTTAGCGAGCCGCAGGGCACGCGTTAACCGTCGCCGTGGCGGGAAACACGATACTGCTCAAGTCGCAACACTTTATTGTGGCAACACCAACGCAGTACAGCCCGTTGCAAAAAGGCGCGGCGGGAAAGCAAGTAGGCTTATCCACGCCACGGGCACAAAGTACTACACAGGGGTGCCACGAGCACGTCTCCGCGGTAAAGCCGATCCACGGAGACACCGGAGCAAAGGCCCGGTTGCTCGAGCGAGGGCAAAGGCGCTCGCGTTGGCTTTGAAGGGAGACGGGTCGGCGTAGCGAGGCCACGCACTAGGACACCGTACCGCCCTTCGGCCGTGCGTACGCAGCGGGGCAACAAAAGGTGAGCGTTCGCATCGGGCGCGAGGCGCCGTCAGCGAACTCCGACGAGCCCCGAGCGACGGGACTCGACGGACGGAAAAGAATGCGTGGCTCACCATTTGAAGTCCCGGACTGTACTCACCGCTCCCGACGCAGCGCGCGAAAAACCTCTCGGGGGTCCCCGCGCGCGGCGCCACAATCAACATCCGCTACCGGGTGAGGGAGTTAAACGTCACTCCGCCCTTCCCAGCGCGGCTGACGGCAAAGGAGGGCAGACATGTCGGGACATGAGAATGGCAGAAAAGGCGGGAAAGCCCGCGCAAAGGCAGCGGGCCAGCCTCAATTCCCACAACCCTCAAGGTTCGATTTTATGATAGTTCAATTTGATGAGTCTCCTGTATTTGGGACAAATATAGGATGTAATAAAAATAATTTTATGGTCTGTGTAATTTAGTTTTCTGTTGCATCTGCATATTGCCTTCAATTTAGAAAAAAAAAACAGTTTGCTTATTAAAAGTTGGTAATAAATTTTATGATGTGCAATACATGATGAATGGCACAAAGCTGTTGCACCTTTTTTTTGTTCATACAGCTTTTGTCCTGGTCGTACTTTAGCATGATAGCGTTAAAGGGCCACTCACCAGGCCCCATACCAAATTTTCGTTAGACAGTGGAAGTTGTTAGGTGTCCGATGAGGAACATTTTGCCACAAAAATATTTGAATCGGTTCATCACGTGCGGAGAAAACAGGTTTTATGAAGCGACGCAAAACAAGGATGAGAGGAGGCGAGCTCGAAACCTTTGTCCCTCCTTCGCGTAGCCTTGGTAAGCCGAATCTCTTCCCCACCCTCTCCGGCACCCGACCAAGTGGTGACGTGCACATCCAACCCCTGAGTCCAACCCCTGAGCACGCGAGCGGCGTTGCTTTGTTGACCAGTGTTATTTTGTGGTCTTCTGCCTCTTTCTGCGGGATGGTTTGGAAACGCTCGCCTAACCGCGGTAGAATGGATGAGCACGAGTGGGCAAACGCGTAGGAGCGTTCCACGGTGGTCGTCTGCTCCATGCGCTCACCGCGGGGACACAAACGCATGCGAAATGCCGGCACATTAGCCCCTCATCTCGTTGCACTTCACGGGAGAAAAATGGAAAAAAGGCGCTCACATTCTCTTATTGCGCCTCATTATTTATCTGGAGTTTTATTGATCTTTTCAAGCAACAAATTACATAAACTATGCCGTGTTAAATAATTTTCGCCATATCACGTGGCACTGTTTGAAACGTCAGAGCGAAGTCGTCTACGTAGAGGGCTAACGTCACCGCATTGCCATGTACGTAGGGCCATTCATACTCGCACGTCATGCCCTCATTCTCTAAGTGCGCACGGGCAGAGGGGAGGGAAAGCAGCGTTCATCTTAAAATTTGACCCATTTTCGCCGCGCGTAGCGTTGCAAATTTTGGCAGACGTGATCATGAATGCCTCGTCTACGCATTGCGCTTGTCAACTCAAAATTGTCAAACCTGGTGAGTGGCCCTTTAAAGAGCTCATTTCGCAAAAATTCTGGTGTTGGCATTTTTGGTTGTGAGTGATAAAGCAGCGTTTGCCATGAGCAAAACATGAGGTAGATGCGGATAAAGATGAAAAGAGAGCTGGAGGGCATTTGCATCTTGGCTTTTCTTATGGTACAGTGTACATGTCTCCACCGAAAAGCGAGGGCAAGCTAGCAATTGGGAAGGCGATAGTGTGTGTGTGTGTTGGATCTGCTAGAAGATTTTAAGGAGAGGCTGCGAGCCATACCGTATGTAATGCATTGGGAAAAAACAATGAGGCATGTTTTTCTTTAATCGCCTCTCATGATCGTTCTGTGTGGCACTGTGTGGTGCAACGTTATGCTTTTTCAGCGTAACACTTTCTGCACATGATAGAAACAGCAGTCACTTTGCTTCGTCCAACTTGTTTACAAATACAAATTTCAGCTATTTTTGTTGTGTCATGAAAGGCACTCAGTGGGAAATATCAGTAGTGTTTTGAGCCGATGCAGTGTCTACGCTGCTGACTGAAAGCCACATTGCCCAAGTCTCATCAGCATGTCAGTTTTGCTTGTCAGTTTGTTTCATGTCTTTATTGTGGAGTAGTTTTTGTGCCTTACTGCTTTTATAGGAGCATTCTGGCTCATTCCTGTTGTTATTCATGTTGTTGCAGCTGTGGTGCCAAGTCAGCATTTGTGCATGTTGTTCAATGTTTAAATTTGTAGTTACGTCCTGGCAATATGCTACTAAACTAAGGACAGCTGCTATGAAACACAGTTCTTCATGCTGCATAACAAGTGTGCCGCATAACACTCTTGGCCATGACCATCACCGGTAATGGTAGTTGAGAAGCCGCACTGCGGTGGTCTAGTGGCTAAGGTACTCGGCTGCTGACCCGCAGGTCGTGGGATCGAATCCCGGCTGCCTTGGCTGCATTTACGATGGAGGCGGAAATGTTGTAGGCCCGTGTGCCCAGATTTGGGTGTGCGTTAAAGAACCTCAGGTGGTCGAAATTTTCGGAGCCCTCCACTACGGCATCTCTCCTAATCATATGGTGGTTTTAGGGCGTTAAACCCCACATATCAATCAGTGGTAGTTGAGAAAAATCACGTAAAGAGAAAACGAATTATAAGTCTCTAATACTGGTATTATTTCTTTCCGTTGCTACCATCCAGACAATGGGAAGGAGTTGTTGTCACTGAATGTTGTGCTGAGCTACCTTCTGAACAAGAATGTACCGCTGGTGTCAGCTGCGGAGCTGCCCCACCTCTTCAAGACGTCTCAAAGCAAGTGGCAGGCATATGCTGACCAGGTACCGTCTACCATTAAGGTTTCTTTTGGTGGAGGGCTGTGCTTTCAGCGGAGTACAAATTGCCATCATGAATGTTTTAAGGTATGTCCCAACCCTTCCTTCAAAGGGGGATTTTAGTGAAAAATGTTTTCTTTTTTTTTTTTGTACATATTTGTTGTGCCTGTTTATTCAAACAGTGATGAAAGTGCTGCTCCAATTGCTCCAAACTGCTCCAAAAGAGAAATGCTGCTCCATGCTGTTCCAACGTGCAATATTTGCTAGTAACTTCTTCAAACCTGCTCCGAAAGGACGTTGGCAAACTAAAAAAAATGAGGTTGAACCATGGGACCATCCCGTGAGCCTAAGCGAAACCAAAAGCAAGCTGTACACATTATCATCCTAATATGCTATATACTCAGAGGTGTAAAACCAGAAAATTCTCAAGGGGTGATACATACCAGGCCATAGTGTCCAATTCATATTTTTAATATGGGCGGTATTTTTATTTATGAAGGAATGAAATCATGCTTTTAAATAAAGTTGAAAAAAACGAGCATGTGGTTCGAGCTCGAGCAATTGCATTCTTCTATTCAATCTCTCTTTTTTTTCACCTTTTTTTTCTATTTCCATAGTTCACACAGCTGAGGGACATTTAACACTGGTCTGTAGTAAAAGATAGTCTGTTTAAAAAGATTATTGTGCTATGCTGAACTGTTAACTCAATTATATTGCGTGCTAAAGCTAAATCTCAAGGGGGACACTTGCAAGGGTGTCCTCCCCAGCCTTAACACCAGGAAAGTTTGAAATCTCTTGAGACCCCCCCCCGCCTATGACTCACGCCAACTATACTGCGTGTATACTAGCTGCATACTAGCATATGGCATGTTTAATAATAAATATAAATATTTATTAGATGCTTAAGTGTTGTTTTAGACTTCAGGAGTCATTAGGAACATGCATCTGCTCCGAAAACACCAATAGCAACCCTAAGCTGTAGCATTTTTTCTGCTCCGAAGACACATAGACAAAATGTTGCTTCCATCGCTGTCCAAGACAATGGGAGAAAAAAAACAAACAAATGTTTTTTTAACTTGTTGAAGAATTATAAGAATTACCTGCATTTCGGCATCTTGCATTAAAAGAAAACTGAACTGATACTTGAAATTCAATAACGCCTAAGAACTCTTCTGAAGTATCACTGACTTGCCGCGGTGGTTGATGTTTGTGGTGCTTGACTGCATATAGTAACCCACCCCTCCTCGGCTTGCTCTGCAGGTCACTTACGAACCACACATTGCGCACTTCAGGCACCACGTACCATAAGCAATTGCATGCCATAAGCAATGTGTTCAAGCAAACAAAGTGCCAGACATACAAAAGCCTTTTTTGTGATTTGCATAGCGAAATAGAAAGCGTGCCTGTCCCACTGTGAAGCAGCCATCGATACACCGGTCGTAGGGCTAAGGCTTAATGTTCGTGCAGCTCACAGCTGGCTCGAAGGCTCTCGTTACAACTATTTATTTTTTATATAGAAGTGGCGTAGTACAGTGTAGTTAATAAGTGTGTATATAAAAACTAAGCTATGTGAACGCTGGTGCACCATGAGCCATGAAGCGCCCTACGAGCCTGTTGTTTAAACAGCCGGTATCTTCCATATCTCAGTTTGCACAATTACTGAATTGACCCCGGATCATTTCCTGTGAACTCTGCCATTGCGGGTCTGCCAGTTGCATAAATTTCATGGCGTGTGCTTGACAACGAGTTTCTCTCACTACTGGCAGACAGGCACTGTGGGCCCCGCCACGGTGGTCTAGTGGCTAAGGTACTCGGCTGCTGACCCGCAGGTCGCGGGTTCGAATCCCGGCTGCGGCGGCTGCATTTCCGATGGAGGCAGAAATGTTGTAGGCACGTGTGCTCAGATGATTTGGGTGCACATTAAAGAACCCCAGGTGGTCGAAATTTCTGGAGCCCTCCACTACGGCGTCTCTCATAATCATATGGTGGTTTTGGGACGTTAAACCCCACATATCAATCAAATCAACAGGCACTGTGGGACTGTGACGTGCAATGGCTTCGTTAAATGCCAAATTTCTTTCAAGTTTTCTCATTGAAGTCATTAACTAAGTGCTAATGAGGGTAAGAGGAGAGGAGGTTGTATTTGTTCTGACTTCTCGTGGAACCCTGTAACCTCACAGAACCCACATTGAGAACCACAGGTCTATATAACATTGCTGTGGCCATGAGCAACAATAAAAAACATGCCAAAGCTTTCTTTCTTTGCATCTGCCCTCCCCCTTTGCTTTCTCTTTTCTCAAGTCACCCAATTTTTTAAGGCTCTTAGGCTGGCAGGTGTGAAGTATATATTTTTTGCTAGCATTCAAAATATACATGCAAGATGAATCTAATGAAGCACTCAACAAATACGACTGCTCATACTATTTAACAGAGCCAGTTGTGCTGCCCTCTGCCAAAACAATCAGAGGCCAGAAGAGGAAGTGTGTCATTTTGTATGCAGTTGCAATAAGCAAGGTGCACAAATGCTGAACCCATGCGACCACTGCGCTTGCAGCCACAGATGATGTCACAGCAGAGCAAAGGCTGCAGAAGTCGTGTTCAGATCTGAGTAGTGCTCTGGATGAGAGAGCCTCAAAGGGGTCCAAACTGATGCGTAATCATACCTGCCAAGTCTCCTGGATTGGCCGGGAGACTCCTGGATTTGGACCGTTTCTTCCGTTAGTACGATTGTCATGAAAATCTCCCGGAAATTGAAACTTTTGTGCGTGATCTGGCCGCCTTGACAAAAAAAGCAGCTCAATCTGCTTCAGGCTTTTCGAACCTACCCCATTTTATTATGAATGAGTTTAAGAGGCGTTCATCGAAACGTACAGTAGAATCTCAGGGATGAGAAACCGTGGCAGATACGAATTCTTGAAGTTCCTCAGCGAAATTCCATTTTGTCTATGGGGCCTGAATTCGAATGTTCTGAACACATTTTTTAATCGCGGCGGGTAATATGAACTTTAGTACGGAAATTGTCGAACAAAGGCCGAGGGCAGCGTACTCGAAGCTTCGGAAGTACGCGTGCGACCGGCGCATGCACTGCCTTCTATAGTGTGCGTGATTGTCGTTGCCACAACCGCTGTCAACGAAACAGTGGTCCCTTTTGAGGCGATCATGTATGGCGACGACGTAACTTACAGAGTCCCGAAAGTGTGCGTGCGTCCAACACTCAACCAGTCAAAGCAACGCTGCTTTCCGCAAACCCTGCGGACAAAACCGCGGCAGATGCGATCGTAAACGGCATAAAGCGACTTTGTTTTGAAGGCGTGTGCGCAGTCAAGAGCAGGGGGATTGAAAAAGGAACTACCATTTGCCGCAACCGCCGCGCACAACATCGCGGTCGTGGCGGCACGATAGATCTATGAGCTCAGAGGGCACGCAGCGGTAGACTAAATGCAGTAAATACGTTAAAAAAAAGTCAAAGTTTCGTTGCAAGGGCGAAGCAATGAATGCGACAGCAACAACTTGGAATGTCACACTGAGAACGGCAAGCAGATCGAAACGTGCAGCGCGCTGCTCACCCACAAATGACGCACGAAAACAATACTCACAAGATGAAAGCGAACTAACAACATTTATCGCTCGACACGTAACGCGCTGTTCAAACAAAAAAAAGTGATGCTCGATACATAATCACAGGCACGGATGAGTACAACCAGTCATACCTTGATGTGTATGAAAAGAGCACTCTTTTCGCAAACAGGGCCTGTGCATAGACCGCAGATACCTTTGTGGCCCCGGCAACTACCGCAATCGTTCCAGTGAAAGCCTAAGGCACAAAATTCTCCGCACTAAAAGATAAGTGCGGGGGCACAAGCATCAACCCCCCCCCCCCCCCCTTTGTGCGGGGCAAAGTACGCATCAGAGATATGTGCGCGCCGGCGCATGGCGACGAGCTGGGCACTGAGCGCGGGCGCCTTTTTTGCCTTTCTAGAGTGTTAATATATATATAGATAAGTACACTTATACGGTGAATGACTGAGGTGGTGGCGACGGCAAAAAACCAGCCTAGACTGTCAATAACAAAGGGGCCAGATGCGTTTTGGCATTCCTGTCAAAAGAATCTAGCAGGGAGCAAAGCTTCGACCTGCGCTTTTGTCGCAGCCAGCTGTGCCGTCCCATCTGTTCACACGTGTCCTAGTAAGACGTTCTATCGTCAGCAATATGAGCTCGAACACGCGAACGCGTGGCGAATGGCCTCGAATCCTACATCGACTGATTCGTAGCGGCCGCTTTCAGAAACAAAGTGGAAAGAGCGGCGCACTTCCCTTGCTGTTGACACTCCTGCCTCGATATTGTAGCTGCTAAATGCAGCTTATAGCATGTCTTTGGCTGCTGGCGGTGACATTACCTGGCATCAACGCGTACAGCCATAACCCATCATGGTATGCAGCTACAAAGATATGGGCTGTGACATATAGCCTGCCGTGATGCACAGGCCATGCTTTTATTGCATCTTGGTGGTGTTGGGCGAACATTTTGATGCGCATCTTTCACTTTTGTTTTGGGTGAATTTTTTTTAGGGTTATTATTGCTCGCGGCCGATGGCATGCGATCAGCTGCCGTTTTACAGCAACAATCATGCGGAAGTGCCAACCGTCAGTGGAATAGTGCCCTCCTCTCCCCCTACTGTTTCGGCAGCGCCACCCACGTATCGCGTTATCTCGGTTTTGAAGCCATTTGCCACCGCTCGCGTGTTTGAGCTCATATTGCTCACTATAGTACATACACGAGCTGTTTTGAAGGAAATAAATTCTGCTAGTTGTGTTGATCTTTTGAGACTCTCACCTCAGTGGGAAACCCTACCTTCGTTTGTTCAACCACTCCAAGCCGACTGCAACGCTGATGTTAGCGCTTGCGATTGAGACCCCCCCACCCCCTCTTGTTTGTCGCAATGTTTTTGTTTGTTTGTTTCTCCTTGTTTTTTTTTAAATAGAAGCAAATAATTCAGCTTCCCCCCCCGCTGCGGAAATCTCCCGGACTCAAAATCCTTGAACTTGGCAGGTATGCGTAATGCACTGAAACATCCAGCCAAATGTATAGTGTGGCAGTAGCAGGCAAACACAAGTTTCATACTTGACAATAAGCATGTGAAGGAGTGGAGGGCAAAGATAGGTTCCCACATTTTAAAATCAACCTTTTTTCGTCCAAGTTTCAAACTTGACAAAAAGTGTCTGAAGGAGTGGAAGGCAAAGATAGGTTCCCATATTTTCAAATCAACTTTTTTTCGTCCAAGTTTTATACTTGATAAAAAGCATCTGAAGGAGTGGAGGGCAAAGATAGGTTCCCACATTTTCAAATCAACCTTTTTTCGTCCATGTTTTTTTTAGATCAGTACTTGTCAGCGCATGAATGATCAGTATTTTATGGCTGAATGAAAGGAACATTCTTTGTGGTAGAAGACACCATGCAAGCCAATCAATGAAATGATTTGTGCCCGGATACAAATATTCAAGTTGAACGTCTTTGTAAGAGAAATGCTGCGGGCAGCAGTTCTTGTTTTTATATGAGATGTCTCTTATAAGCAGGGTACCACATATGCATTTTCTTATCAACTCGTATTTTACTGTAGGCACTGGTGTCTCTTATAAAGGGGCTCTATAAGCGGTGTAGAACAACGCAACAAGAGGGAGGGGGAGAACAATCATATTTGGAGAATAACTAGATGGCAATGCGTGTGCATGTTCTCTGCAGGTGAAGGGCATGATTGTTGTGAATCCAGGCATGAAGCCATGTGCTCTTCGTGTGGACCAGCTGGACCGGGAGCTGTGTAATGAAGAAGGCACCGTGTTTCCTGAGATTGTACACTTCGGCATCCGACCACCGCAACTCAGTTATGCTGGAAATCCCATGTGAGTGCTTGTTCTTGTGGCTATGAAGTACTACAGAACTTATAAGACAGCAATATTAATTAATCTTTTAGTAATGTTGTTGCACCTTGAGGAAGAAATATTATTAAATATCAGTTTATTTATTGCAGGGCAAGTACAGTAGAACAGTTGCTGTGGAATATATTTTTCCGTACAAATGCAATTAATACAGTTCACTGGAAGCTTATTTATCCGCATTTTGCGGGGCCAGAAAAAAAAATGTCTGAAATAACTGGAAGTGTCAAGAAAACAATGAGTATTGCTTCAATACAGTTTCACTTTCTGCATGAATATGCAAATCCTGTTCTTATACTGTTTAAGGGCAGTGTAATAGCTGTAATTTGTATCACGTTGTGACTTTCTTCATAATGCAACCACATTGTGAGACCCTCATGCATAAATTAGTCTGTAATGTGCTCGAAACCACCTCTATATCACTTTCCAAAACCACTGAAACCATCACGCGCATGTGATGGTAATTTACTTGCTGGAAAAATGGCTGGCTACAAATTGTTCCGTCACTGCAATATAGCAGGTGAGTTTCATGCCAGCATATCACACTATGCATAGCACGAAGTCGAAACAAACAGGGGCGAGACAGCTGCGCACATTGCGCATTTTAGATAAGATTCTGTTTTCTTGTGCCAAGCTGCCCCAAAAGAATAAAAATCTCGAAAATTGCACTGAATTGCTTCGAAACAGCCTCAAAAACAATAATTTTCATGCCTACCTAAGCTTGAGTGTGATAAAAAGGCTGAGTTTACTACTACATGATTTTCCGAGCAGTGCCAGGAATACCAACAAAATGAAATGCGTCCAAGCGTGTTTTTTACTTTGCACCTTTCTGGTGACGAAGGCTCCCATGGTGCCAATCTCCTCTGGACTGCCCTGAATATGCTTGACCCCGCAAAAAATGTACTGCCGTGGATCGAGCGTGCTGCTTTTGCTAGCTGGACTGTGCGCTCTGGCACCACTGTACTTGGCGAGAACTGTACTGGGCGTTAGCCACCCAAATCGAGTGGAATGCGTAGCAGGGTTGACTCTCAGGTTCTTTGTCGTGCGTAGTGTGTTCCTCCGGGTGCTGTGGTTTTCATGTCGACGCTGCTTCGTGCAGTCACCTATGTGCGTGTGTTTTGCCGTGAGCGAGTACCTTCCTGTGTAAATGTTGAGTCATGCCCTCAGTGCAACGAGTCTTCTGAATGCTTTGGCACATGGGTTCTCAAACTGGGTTCCGTGAACGACAAAACGCGTGCAACCTGCTCGCGGTTGGCACCCATTAGCAATTAATTACCCCCATTAGCAACACTATGCCAACCACGCAGCTGAGAAGATAGATACATGCTCTGAATCATAAGGCAATTACTACTATTTGTTGCAGCCTTGGTGGACGAAACCACACTCGTTATCGGCAGGATCATCAGTAAGATCCACAAGTTTTCACACACGCTGAATAAAAATGAAACTAGTTTGCCTCAGCAGCTGAAACCTTATTCTTAAACAACACAAATTTTTCAATTAGGAATCTGAATGATCTGATTTTCTGAATTAATATGGGCTTGATCAACAAAACCAAACTGTAGAACCTTGTTCATGTATTGTAATTTCATATGAGCACCGATTTTCATGCATTTCATAGAGCACCAATGAAAAATTCAAACGTTCTGCTCGAGCATTCAATGCATTGCCAAACTGCAGTTGTGTATGTGTGTCTTCTGACTGCTGGATTTTACACAAACAACCAAACTGGGCAACTTTTCTGCCATACTCCCCATATTTGATAAGTGAGAATGCCATTGCGCATTGTTTTTTCTTAGCTACCATCACATCTTTTTCGAATATGTATTTTGTACATCATATTTACAGTTGTCACCACTGTTACCGCTAGCGCTATTGCATCTGCATGTTCGAAATTGGGTGTGCATTACTTGTGGTGTAGCACTGTTGGAAATGTATACAAGCTTCTAGTAGCTGATAACAGAGCACATTATTAGCTATTTACTCTGTTATTTCTTTGAGGGGAATCGTCACACGCAAAACTGAAAGCACCACAGAGTTGCTACATGGCTCACCAAGTTGCATGCCACGCTCAAGGGCTGCTTGCACAACCAGAAATAGTACAGGCTCAAAAATGGTCCTCATTTAGTGCACTTGCAACATATCTGCTCATTCATTCTGCAGTGGCATTGCTAAAACATAAGCTTTCATCCCATAAGGTGGCATGGTAAGGTAAATGGTATATGTCAGCTTTAACATAATATTGATTGATTTGTGGTGTTTAACGTCCCAAAACCACCACATGATTATGAGAGACGCTGTAGTGGAGGGCTCCGGAAATTTCGACCTCTTGGGGTTCTTTAACGTGCACTCAAATCTGAGCACACGGGCCTACAACATTTCTGCCTCCATCGGAAATGCAGCCGCCGCAGAGGGATTCAATCGCGCGAAGTTTTAACATATTTTAGAAGCAGTAAAGCAGCTGCAAGTATTGACATAGTATTTCACACGCTCCCAAAGAGTGCCACTGGGTATCTATCACGATACCCATTTTTATGCCTACGTTACCTATTCTTCCTATGGCACACTCCAAATTTTTAAAGTGAGTTCACTTATTCAGTGTACCTTTTCTCTGTATCCACTGAAGGAATGTGATGATATTTTGCTCTGTTATTGTAGACAGACATGAGTTATATTTGAACTAAAAAAAAAAAACAGGACATCCTGAAGGGAGTCACTGTAAAAAAATTAAAAAATAACTGCACTCACAAAACCACTGAGGGTGCATGTATTGCTGCATAATTTTTTTTACAGCTTCACGTTTACGAAATCAGAAATTTTTTCAGTACAGATTGCTTTCAACTTGTCGTACATGCATGCAAAGTTTTATAAAAATTGATTCAGTACGTTTTTAGAAAAGGTACATCAAATTTCAAAAGTTTATAAAAGAAAGCGCAATGTGAGAAAAATAAAGTTTTTGTGCGCATACTGTTTACGCCAGAGGGCGCACAAGGCACTTTGGCATAGCACTAACATCACTTGGAGCGGCCGCTCGACGTGAGGCTTCCACAGGTTTGGTCTTCGCAGTTCAGTAGATTTTTCGTTATCAAAATTGCAAATTCTACTTTTTGGGGGGTTTGCTCTACCGTACTTCTTCAAGGGAAAGCTAAACGTACGAGCATTTGTTGGCGGTAGTCAGCACATTGTCGATAAACTTGGACTGCTAACATTAACTGTAGATGCGTGGTCCACTCACTAATCTTGTGATCACGTGGTTTTGTGGGTATGAACAGGTGTGAGGCTTAGGGCAAGGTAACTGTCAGTCACATGACATGCTTGTGTGGCTCAGCACATGTGGTGTATGCACATGTTGGAGATCACGCTGTCTCTAGTTAAAGTCAAGAAAGCTGGCAAGTTCAATAGTATGCCACATCTTCCCATGCTCCAAGTGATTGATTGCATGCATCCTGCAGAGTTTTGGAGGTGCTGCATCGTTGAACCTTCACAAAAGAGGGCAGAGTAGTACATTTACTTTGAGACAAGCATTCATGTCACACATTGCGCTCCCCCTGTGCTCTTCTCTTCAGTATTTTCATTGTAGGGCGCGCAGTCATAGAGTGAAGTTTGCTCACTTGTGTTTTTGTTCATGATATTATGCATTGGTTAATTAGTGGATGATCAATCACTGCAAGTTATTATGTCCATTTGGCTTCCACATTGACTTTATCTAATAATTTTTTGACGCGTTATGGTGGTCGAGTAGTTAGGTTGCTCGATTGCTGACCCAAACGTTGTGGGGTCGAATTGGGGCTGCGGCAGCTGAAATTTAATGGAGGTGAAATTCTGGAGGCCCACGTACTTAAATTTAGATGCATGTTAAAGAACACCAGATTGTCAAAATTTTCAGAGCCCTCTACTCTAGCCACCTTCATACTCATATTCTAGTTTTGGGACGTGAAGCCCCAATAATTATATGACTACTAGTGTGTAATTATTGTCACTGTCTTTATTATTGCTATCTATGTATCTTCTTTCAGACAAAGCATATATTTAATAACTTCAGGTAGTTCTTTGTTTGTATGGTTTCTTTTAAAACTAAATCTGTGAATAAGAATATACTGTATCTCATGAATTCGACATTCTTCATGCATCAGAAATTTTGCCCATGATTATGTGAGTTGATCTACCTCATGTGACTTCATATGTCTTAGTATGCATGTTGCATTTGAAGCAAGAAGAAAGTAAAACTGTTTCTTAGCATAACCCATGGCATTCAAGGTTTGTGCATAACATTGGGTACAATAACGGCTCAAGTTCCTCCGTAGACGCCAGAGGTTCTGACTCGTCTGCACTCCTCGCTTCTCAGCCTGCTTTAGCCACACATGCATTGCATGCGGCTTTTTTTTTTGTATGTGCGTGTATGTTCATGTATGTTCATCTTGAGATCGTGCTTGCAAAGCTTGCTCATGAGATGTATTTCTATGGGAAAAACTGGGGGGGGGGGTGTTAACTGTCATAATACCACTAAACACGAAGGGGTTGGTTTCACCTGTAAAATTCTTCTGATTCCCAAATTAATGGCACCTAAAAAGCAAAAACAGGCATGGAATAATGAAGTGCGCTAAACTGTGTACACATTTTTTGTTGCGTGCATAGCTGGGCATGGTCAAAGTTCACGCACTCAGAGAAAATTAGTATGTTCATGGAGCGTTGAACTTAATTTAAGTTTATTGCTGCTTTGCTGTAGCACTGATCAATTAAGTTAATAGGAGGTAGACCTCTGCATCTTGGTCGACATAACATTAAATGACAGACGTAACATTAAGGCTTCGAAAAACATGAATTTGTCGGCAAAAATAACAGAGGTAGCCAGCATCATAGTTGGCATTGTGGTAATCTCGTAACTAAAAGGAGCATAGACCACTGCCAGGTTTTGCGAGTCACAGGGCCGCGCCGGCCTTCACCCCCTTTATCTAGCACACATGCTC